GATGGAGCTCTAATTCAATGATATCCCATCTGCCTGAACCTTCACCTGGGCTCTGAGCTTTGTCTGCCATTAGAAAAGATTTCACTTAAAACACAGAGCCTTTGGTAAATTTTAGAAGTCTAGGCCTAAGTATGACTTAAAAAACATGATTTTCCCTCAGAGCAGGGTACTGGGTGGAGCACATGGTAACTGAAAGGGATGGTGTCCCTTAGGGCAGACTGGGAGGGGAGGAGGACTCTGAGGGCAAACTCTGCCTATTGATAACCTTGTTTGGGATAAATTGGCCCCATGCTTTGCTGTGATCCTGTATTAACTGGGCTAAGTAGCTGGCTGAGCAAATTGGTCAGGCTTGGGTGGGTTGGGTGGAGTGCTTGTCTCTCCTGAGGCTGGCATTTCTGAACTTTTATGAAATTGCTATAAATATCTGATGAAGGAAACCAGAATTCTTTAATATGCATGCCCTGCAGGGGAATGTTTGGTGTAACAGGACTGGCCTTAGAGATGTTTTTACCACAGAATATTGGGTATACTAGTGGGGACATTTTGTTTTTACTCTAGAAAATTGTAAGAAACTTTCTGCTGGTATTCCAGACCCTTTTGGTGAGTCTTATGGAGACATTGTGGACAGGTTGGCCATCCACAGAGTTTCTCCCCTCCCCATAGGTCCTGCAACAGACAGCCAAGTGGGTCCCTGTATATTGTGCAGTTTACATGTTGCACACACATGTGAAGGTGAATCAGAGCTACCAGAGTGAGAACTGTGAGCTCCCTTTTGGATATTGCCTCCTTGTTTCAATGACAAAGGTCTTCAAGCCACACTGAACTGTTTTCTTTTTTCTTGCCTCCCACTCAGGACTGGGTTTCAGAAAGTTGCCATCATCCAGGTCTGTCTCCTGAAAAAGTTGACGTTCCAGGACAATATTCCCCACAGTGCTGAGAGATTCTGATCATTAGAGCCCCCCAGCTGCCACAGGCCTCTGGTTGATGCAGCGCTGTCTGAGGTCTGATTCTTACTGGAAAAGGGGGGTACACTGAAGGGAGCAGTGGCATAGTATCATATACCTGCAGGTCTTAGGGCCAGGAAAAGAATGGAGGTGGATATTAATAATATACAAATCAGTATGTATCAATACTAATGATCAATAATGTGATTCTATAATACTATAATGCTGATTCTTCTAGTATTAATGATACCAACATTGGCTGTACAAGACCCACCGTGACTGCTGCTTCCAGAGAAAAATCACAACTTCTTTGTTGGGATGGAGGATGGGACAACATGGGGCATGGAACAAATGGAAATGAAATTGTCTACTGAAACCCTAGGACTAAGTAATTGTGCTTTATCCCCAACATGGTTTGTGCTCACCTTGTACTGTGGGTTTTGCCTTGAATGAGCCCTTGATTCCTCTTCCTTCTTTTCCCCATGTGCACATTTTCCTCCTTTGGCTTTGATTCCTGTCATCACTCTCTAACCTCTCTATCCTATCTTCCTCACTATTAGTTACTGAATATACATATAAAATGCTGATTTCTTTGCTCCATCCTCAAGTTTACATCCATTGGGTCATCAGGATACATACCACACACAGCAGTGGTTTCTCCTCTACCTGTTTAAGGTTTGTGGGTTTGAAATGCTCTGCCTGGTGGTTGAAGTCTTCTGCTTTGCACTACAGGGTGAGGTAGACTGTTAGCAAATTGCCATGGAGCCCCAAGTCTCGAGTTTTGACCCTGGCTCCTCTCTCACTACTGTCTGCTAACCTCTGCCTGTCAGCTCAGCCTGAAGTACACAAAATAAGACAACATGAACTTGCCTTGTGGGATACGGTGATATCCAATGAACAAAAGATACGAACAAAAACATGAGGGGAGGGCTGCAATGAAGAATGCATGATTCCACACACACACACACACACACACACACACACACACACACTTTAACATTGGAAGGCCATGAGCAAGAAAGTGATTTGACTGGTAAGACTCTGCTGAGGAGATGGCAGACTCTGCTGAGGAGATGGCTCTGCTGAGGAGATGGCATTTCAACTGGGTACTCTGTATACAGGTAGCTATGGGGAGGGAGGTTGTATCTGAAGAAGGTCATCTAGCTGTTGTGAGATATGGGAAATTCTGAGGTCAGATGCTCTGGGCAGTGTCAGGCTTGGCTGGAACATGCACAAACAGAAGCACCAAGAAGAACTAGTAGAGAAGAGGGTGTTGGCAAGAGTTAGAGGGCTCTGACAGCCATAGTGAGTATTTCAGTCATTGCATTTGAAAACCATAGTAACCATTTCATTATATTTAGGATTCATTGTATTTTCAAAACTTTTTCTTTTCAAGGGGTGACAAGGAGGTAAAAAGAGGGAGAGGACAAAAGGGGTGAGAAGAGGACATATCTGAAATTGAGCCTTTTCTTTCTGTTTAGAAATAGAGAGGGCCCATGTGAGGATTCATTTCAGAATTCTAGGATTGGCTTTTTGTAATACTGACATTTATGGAACATGCCGGCTGTCTCATATGTATGAGTTAATCATTCCCACATTAAAAACTCACATAGACATCTCACTCAAATTGTTAGTTTCTTCTAAATTGTGTGAGATATTATTTATTGAGTATTGGATGGTACGTGAAAGGGATTACATTCTCTGTGTTGTGAATATAAAAATAACTCTGTTTTAAGACAGTGAAAATACTCTGTAGGTTTTTATAATGATGGAGCCGTATCATCACACATTTATCCCAACTCATAACATCTATCACCATGAGTGAGCCCTAAGGGAAACTATGGATTTGGGGTAATTATGATGCGTCACTGCAGGTTCACCATTATCGCAGGTGCACCACTGTGGTGGAGGATGTGGATAGTGGTGTGTGGGGTGCCATGCATGTGTGGAGGCAGAGACTGTATGGATAATCTCTGTAGCTTGCTCTCAGTTTTTCTGTGAACCTAAAACTTCTCTGAAATATAAAGTCTTAACAACGATATTGACAGTAGATGGTCCTAGTGAGACTGAGAGGAGATTTTAATTTCTCTTTGCCCCACAGAAAGTGATTGAAAGCGAGTACCTGATCCTTCTGTCAGAAAGGAAGTGACATGTCAGAGCCACTGTCCCATCACATTTGGTGTGCCTGCAGGCAGTCTGCATTTTGTTGGGGCCACTTGTATGCTTCTCACTGAGTTTCTAAGTGCAAGGAATAGAAAGGCAGATGTCTTCAGAGTAATTTGGACATCTTGAAGAAGGTAGGCACTTCACTACAGATCAGCTCAAATTCTGGTTGGACTAAGTTTAGAAACAAATGATGACTAACTTTTGTTAAATAAATCAGAGTGGTAGTTTTCTCTTAGGTGCTGGATAAATCTTAATAAAATCTATTTTCATGTTTTGTATGCCTCAAAAATTTGCATTTCACCAATACCAATGTATTCAAACCTGATAACCTGAGCTTCTTGGCTTTTAGCTGGGAAGAAACTTACTTTTCCAAGATTTCTTCCTGAAGCTTGAGAACCTGGCTGTAATAGCAGTTTCTTTATTGATCTTTTTCTATTTTCTGACAAAAAATTGCTTTATGCATATTAATAGGCATATGCCAAATGCAAAAGGTTTGGTCCAATGTAGTGAGTTTCTGAACAACAGATAGATCTGGGAGGGTCTTGGACATCTGCAGATTTACAAAGATTCATAGGGAATTAAAGGCAGTAGGAGGTAACAGGATGGAGCAGAAATAAAAAATTTAGAGTTTAGTCACTGATCTCAAGTTGACTCTTCTTCTTTCTGCAGATCAAACCTTGGTCTACTCCATCTTATCTACAGCCACCAGCATAACAATGAATAACAGTGTGATTGAATTCATTTTGTTTGGGTTGACACAGGATACAGGAAAGGAGAAAGCAATATTTGTGGTCTTCTTGATCTTTTACCTTGTGACACTGACAGGGAACTTTCTCATTGCAGTGACTATCAAAACAAGCAAGAACCTTGGGAGTCCTTTTGTAACCTGGGCACCGAAGCTCCATTTCTGAGCACTCTTGGTACCTTGGAAGAATTAGAAATATAATCATGTCTCATTGTCTTCTAGCTCTCTTTTCAGTTTCTACATTGTCTTTCCTCAATACCTCAGCCTCACCGAGATTTTTGAAAAAAAAATAATACCCACTGGTAACATAAGAGTTCATGACAGTCACGAGTCAGTGAAGTTCAGAAATATTTGGTGAGTATCTAGTGTCTCCGGTTTAAGAGTTGTAGGATAGACAAAGATTACATGGAGAGAATTGCAACTTCTTAAAAAGCTGATAGTAAAAAAAGAAGGACAGAAAAATTGCTGACAGCCACAGAATCCAACTAAGTAGTTGCTTCAGGGAACAATGCGCTAATTATGTCATTGTTGGATACAGTCCTGTCTGTGGAAATTTCATGAGAGATCCATGAAGACTGAGCATCCTTTGAGGTATAAAGGACTGCATACCTGTAGCAAATCATCATAGTATTAAGTGAGTTATTCCAAAAGAGACATTATTTTTGGTGCTACATAAATTTTATTTTAATGGTTCTCACTACAAATACTACAAACTCAGAGGACTGACTTCATGACAATTTATTGAGAGATGTTTTTTTGCCACCACCAGAAAGTAAGTCATTGCTGACTTGCGTGCCCAGGACTGACAGTTTAAATAGGGCTCTATTAAAGACACAACTGGATTTGGGGCCTTTGATACTTTTCTCTGTCACCAATCCACTAAGACTTAGAGGAGAAATCTCTGACTTGTAGCCCAAACAAAATCATCTGAGGAGAAACAGAATTGTCAAGGGAAAGTGCAATAGGCTATTAGGAAGAAGAAATCATAGATCTTCACCAAACGTTTACTGTGTGTAACCCTCTGTAGAAGATACAAAAATGAAGATGTGCTCCAAAATGTAATGGATGTATTCATATTTGTTTATGGTTTCATTACAGGTCCCTTCTCCTGACCTCTCATTCCAGAAACAGGCTTTAGAGAAGACTAAATGGGACATAGTAACAATGTGACAGAATTTGTCCTCCTGGGCCTCACTCAGGATCCTGGGGGCCAAAAAGCATTATTTGTGATATTTTTGCTCATTTATATTGTGACAATGGGGGGCAACCTGCTCATTGTGGTGACTGTCCTTGCCAGCCCCTCCCTCGGCTCCCCCATGTACTTCTTCCTTATCTGTCTGTCATTCATTGATGCAGTGTATTCCACTGTCGTTTCACCCAAATTGATCATAGACTTACTCTATGGTCAAAAGACAATTTCTTTCTCAGCTTGCATGGGACAGCTGTTTCTGGAACACCTTTTTGGAGGTGCTGAGGTGTTCCTTCTGGTGGCCATGGCCTATGATCGGTTTGTGGCCATCTGTAAGCCACTGCACTACATAACCATCATGAATAGACAGGTTTGCATCCTGCTGTTGGTGGTGTCCTGGGCTGGAGGTTTTTTGCATTCTGTGGTCCATATTCTCTTTGTGTACAACCTTCCCTTTTGTGGCCCCAATGTGATTGACCACTTTGCCTGTGACATGTACCCACTATTACAACTTGCCTGCACTGACACCTACATCTTAGGCCTCACTGTGGTTGCCAATGGTGGAGCAATCTGTGTGGTCATCTTTATTTGTCTACTAATATCCTATGGAGTCATCCTAAGTTCCCTTAAAACTCACAGTCTGGAAGGCAGGCGCAAAGCCCTGTCTACCTGTGGTTCCCATATCACAGTGGTTGTTCTCTTTTTTGTTCCCTGCATTTTTATGTATGTGAGACCTGTTTCTAACTTCCCCATTGATAAATTCTTAACTGTGGCTTATACTGTTATCACTCCCATGTTGAATCCTCTAATATACACTTTGAGAAATTCAGAAATGACAAATGCTATGAAAAAACTCTGGTATAAGAAGTTAGCTATAAATAGAATGAGACTGTGTCACTCATATTGAATGCACTTGGTACTAATTCTGAAGCAACAAACAGGCAGTGCATTCTAACAATGGATGACTTAGTCAACTCAATGCATTCTCTTGGGATGCTTTTCTTTTTTTGTACAAAGGTATCAAAAAGTAGAGCAAATTATCCTTTGAGGTTAGACTCAATCTAATACAGGAATTCTGAAGGTTGAATAAAAGGCACAGGTATTTTTCCCATTTTTAGGAAAAAATAAACTAAGTTCCCCTTGTAAATTTTTTATTGTGCAGTTAGAGTTGTCCTGATTTTTTCCCCATTGCTCTCCCCTGCCCCATACCACCCACCCCCACCTCCCACAGTCAATGCCTGCCACATATTCCATGCCATGTGTCTCTTATTGTTATTTCTTGGCTTGCCTCTTCAGCTTTTCCCCGCTAACGCCATCTTCCTCCCCTGTGGTCACTGTTAACTTGTTCTCTATGGTTTATATTGAAATGAGGATTTAGAAGAGTTTTTTCCTTTGAATTGTGAAAAACAAGCTACTTTTAAAAATTTGCTTCTACCTTAAAGAATGAGAAAGCAATTTTGCTAATATTTAGAACAGATTTCTAAGGTTAAAACAGTGGTTTTTATTTACTTTATTTTGTTGTTATTCAAAGACAGTTGTCTCCATTTTCACCCCACCACTTCCCTGCCCCACCCATCTCCACCTTCCACCCTTGAGCTTACCCACTTTGGCTTTGTCCCTGTGTATTTCATACATACTCTTTGATGGCCCTTCTCCTATTTCCCCCAGCATCCTTCTCTCCCATCCCCTCTGGTTATTGTCAGTTTGTTCTTTATTTCAAAATTTTAATGTTTGTTGTTGTATGCATACAACAGGATTTTGCAGCTGCCTTGAATTAAGCATTTTGCCTTCAAGGTTACTTTTGTTTCTCATTTTGATGTCTGTGCATTTGAAGTTCAGGATGTTTAGATGGGAGATGATACCACATTAGGCTAAATGCACAATCGTGGAACAGTTCTGTCAGGCAGGATGTTCGATATATTCAGAGGTTGGGATCAACCCGAATGGGATGGTCGACAATGAAAACAGATTGTAGCTGTTGGTGAGAGTACAGAATACCATACTAATCCAAGTGGTAAACATATTTTCATGCTTTTCCTCCTCAGTTATTATTTGCCTTTTTGCTATTCTTCAAAGAGTAGATGAAGCTTATTTTGTTTTCATGACACTGAAGATTGGGTAAAGAGATGTATTATTTTGCACAGCAGTGTGTTCCCTAAAAGTTGAATTCAACTTCAGTACTTCAAATTATAAACCTAATAATCATGTGTTTTTATATAAACCAAATTTTGGTTTTCAATCTTACCTTAAAATTTTTTTTCTCATCATGTAGCCCCTCCAGAACATCACAAACTAGAAAGAAGATGGAATTGTTTTCACTGTATTGTAGCAACATCATCTATGTTTTCTAAGAGTTTTTATGCTAATTAAAAACTTTGAACATTTTTATTTTAAAATTTTATTATTAGTTTTTCATTCATACCAATAATATATGCAATGTATTCCCAGAATACAATCAATATTGAAACTGCCTATGTATATGATTCCTCTCCCTCTTTCCAGAGGTAATCCTAATGTTGATTTTTTTATTAATCATAGTTAAAAATAGTTTAACTGTACATGTATGTATCCTTAAGTTATAGAGTATACAGTTACATATTCCTTATCTTTATTAAAATTATGCCACATAGTACATAGTTTTCTGAAATTTTGATCCACTAATTTTGTTTTGTTCAATTATTCTATCTATCTGTGAGCCGATACTACTATGTTACATTACTGTGGTGTTTCAGAATTATTGCAGTACAAAAAAAGCACTCCCAAATTTATTGGCTTCAAACACCATCAATCATTTTATTATTTCAGATGGTTTCGGTGGGTCAAGTACTTGAGCAGCTCAGCTGGGTATGTGTGGCTCAGCATCTCTCAAGTTGTCAGAAATTGGCTGAGGCAAAACTCATCTAAAAAGTTTATTTTTTCTTATATTTGATACTGGGGTTTGAAAGTCTTGGATCCTGGGGACTGGAATAGCTGGCACTACTCGAGATCCTAAGGGTGTAGTCCTAATCCAATAGAGCTGGTATCCTTATAAGGAACAGCAGAGCTCTCTCTCGCCATGTGCACAGAGGAAAGGCCATGTCAGGGAAGACTGAGAAACTGGCCATCTGCAAGCCAGGAGGAGAGGCCTCACCAGAAATCAGCTCTGCTGGTACCTTGATCTTGAACTTTCAAAATCCAGAACTGTGAGAAAATAAGTGTCTCATGAGCAAGCTACCCAGTCTATGGTATTCTGTGATGTGAACCTAAACAGATGAGTGTGATGATGCTAAAAATGAATCTAAATTGGTTATTGAATCACCAGGATTCAATTCAAATAACAGCTCCTCTTCCAGCCACCAGATGGGAATAGTTTCCAAATCCAGAGCTTTTTGAATGAAGGAGCCCTCAGGTATCCTTGATTAAGAACTCCGTGATGTCATGACAAATAGTTGCTGTGAATCTGTATCCTAATCTTTTCTCTGAGTGACCTGAGACCCTTTAGCAGGGTATATGTGCTCTGAGCAAAGGTAAATACCCAAATCTTTCTGGAGATTACTGGAAATAGGTTCTAAGCTAAAACTCATTCTTGGGTGGCAGATTGCCAGTGTAATTCACTAGTCAGAAAGCAGATTGAAGGTGAAACAGTATGGGGCTGAGCTGTTACAGTGTGTCACTTCTGCATATGTAGTTAGATGAAATGTACTCTACAGGAGCATATGTTTCCATAGTGGGTCTCTGATCACTGGAGTAAAGTTATCATGGTATGAAGGACTGATGGAAATATTTGGTACTAATATTTCTTTCCAAGACAGTAAGTGAAAAGCTGCACCACATCCTTGGTCTACCAAAGAGATTGGACAAATGGAAGGCGTGAATCTCATTATATTCCCATTTAATTTACAGGCTTGGTTTGGGAATAAAATGGAGAAACAGGCTACATCTGTTTGAAAAAGGAGAGCATAAAGAAATTTTGTATCATTAAACTTTACATTTGCAATTTTTCTTCATATGAGAAAATCCTAATGGACAAAATAGAAGAATAGATTTGGTTATGATCTCTCAGCATCTGTATTTCCTAAGGCAGGTCTCACTTGGAAAATAAAGAGGCTCATTGAAGTAATTACATCAATGAATTAGGCAAACAAAACAATATCTTTTATTTCAATTGCTCTGTAGTAAGTGAGAATATCAGCTATTCCATGTAGGAAAAGATAAACAGGTCAGGATTTAGGACATGTAATTTCTTCTTCCTTTTTAAATTTTTTGTTGATGATTGTGTTTTTATTTATTTTATTTTTATATTGTTCAATTACAGTTGTTCTCATTTTCCCCCATTAATTTTCCCGGCCCTACCCACTCCCCACCTCCCGCATTCAATCCTCCCCCCTCTCATTGACTTTGTCCATAGGTCCTTTATACATATTCCTTGACTTGACCCTTCCCCTCCTGTCCCCCATCATTCCCCTCTCCCCACTTCTGGTCACTGTTGGTTTGTTCTTCATTTCCATGTCTGGTTCTATTTTGCTCACTTGTTTGTTGTGTTGATTAGGTTCCCCTTTTAGGTGAGACCAAATGATACTTGTCTTTCACTGCCTGGCTTATTTTACTTAGCATAACACTCTCCAGTTCCATCCATGGTGTTGTGAAGGGTAGGAGTTCCTCCTTCCTTTCTGCTGCATAGTATTCCACTGTGTCATTCTTAAATCTGTAACCATTTGAATGTGCAATTTTGGAAATGTTCCTTCCCCTCCCTGGGTCTCAGTTTCTCTATATGCAAAATAAAAAGAATGAATTAGATAATCTCTAATTACCCATTCAATTATTTTTTAATTTTTATTGAATTTCTCAGGATGACACTGATTAACAAAATTATGTAGGTTTCAGGTGCACAATTCTACAACTCATCATCTGTACACTCTGCTGTGTGCTCACCACCCCAAGTCTCTTTCCATCACTATTTATCCCTCCTTAAACTCCTCTACCTCCTTTTCCCCCTTTAACCCATTCAATTCTCAATGCTTAAGATTTTATTGTTTATTTTTTAAGATCAAATTCTGGCCTCCATGTACTTGAATTACCAGAGAACGCTTATTATAATATAATATGAAATACAGTGTTATTATTCTGCATGAAGTGAAACAAGGCCCAACACTTCCAGAGAGTTCAGATTTTAGACAGCTCTTAAATTCATTAGAGACCACTGAAAAGGAAACTGGCTTCTAGTTCTATCATTTACTAGTTACATCATGCTGGACAAAGTCAAACCACTCTAAGTCTCAACTTTTCTATATTCACAGGAAATAATGCATTCATGAGGTTCTTTTCTGATTGAGTATGAAAGTGGATTGCAAATAATAAGCATTAAATATAAGATACAATATGACTAACAGTGAATTTAGGGCAGATTAGAAATGGACAAGGATACTAATGTTATTAACTGATTTAACAAAGTAAATGAATAAGTAGATTCATAATTCTAAATTCTCTTGAGAAGATTGTTGGGAAATTCTCAGAGAGAAAAGCTGACATATTTCAAATCCCCAAGTGTCTTTGAATCTGTTTTTTATGCCCCATGGTTTGGGATGAGAAAGTTTTCTTAAAATCTGTGTTGAAAGGTGGATGTTGAAGAAGGTGTCTTGGCAACCAAGGTAAGCCTTTATGTGTGAGGTAATGTGGGCCAAGGTTAAGATCAAGACTTGTGGCCAGGCAGACTTGATTATATCTACATGTCTGCTCCTCACTAACTCTATGTCCTTGCACCTCATTAACTCTATGTCCAGAATAGAAGGCCCAACCTAACCATGCTTCAACTTTTCTATCTGTAAAGTAAGAGGGAAATTTAAAACACATGTAAATTTCAACCCCATATAATTTTAAAAAATATTGAATGAGATAATTTATATAATGCTTTGCACAGTGCCCTAGCATACATGAAGTAGTCAACACTAATTTTTTATTATTACTTGTAATAATGACTAACCTCTACACAGAACTTTATTTATAATTTATCAAATCATTCACATCTCTTAATAGGAAAATAGGCTTAACCTCCTTACTCCTTAATCTTCTCAGAGATTGTCATAATTCTAAGAGCACAAAAATGAAAATCAAGATGAAAAAAGTGCTATTGGAACATTCAAAAAATTATTAAAATTTTTCTAAAAGTAGTATCTTTTTAAAAGTTATACTAATGTATGACCATGATAAAAAATAAAAAGTACAGCTAAGTAAAAAGAGAAACACATGTTGTTTCAGCATTACCATAAACCTATAAAACTATACTGTTTTCCTCTACTTACTTTTTTGTATTTTTCATGTGTAATTTTACACTACTCTGCTTATATTTTTCTAAAGAACATCACATTGTGGCCTCTCTACATGCTTTGAGTGCATCTCTCTGACACTGTTAAATTTTTCTCTCTTTTTCTTTAGAATGTTGGCTGTACATATAGTAGGCAAGGGGGTGTTTGGGAGCAGGCCCGTGTTTCTGAATCCTTCCTTGTAGAAGCCATTCCACACCAATCAGGGCCTTCATAAATAGTATTGAATTAGTATGGGAACCAATGAAGGTTTGGAGAGTAAAGCGAATGAATGGGTGAATGACTAAATAAAGCATTCTGAGAAATAAGGAAATGCTTTTCACAAAAGGAACAAGTCGATTATACCTGGTTGTGATAATACTGCAACTACATTTTTATCATAAATTCTCTATTAATTTTCCAAAATGTTTAAGAGATAATCATTGCAAGGGAAAGCCAGAGACCAAAACACTAATGTCTGCAAGAGAGAAAACATTGGATTTTTAGAAAAACTACATTGCCTGATTTCATCTCTGGTGATACAGCCTATCACTATATCCGTATTTTTCAGCCTAGAGGTTGGAAGAGGTGGCTGCTTAGAGTTTGTGCAGTACAACCACTCTAGTGTCTGTCCTATTACCTGCATCCTTTGTGGGCACAGACTACAGTCTTCACATTCACTGGCCTTTTTGATAGCTTTGCCTCACCTAGAGGCTACTAAGGTAATTCTCACCAGCCTTCTTCAGAAGGGACTGAAGCAATATTTTCTGGAACCCTTAGAGAAGAAATATTATCTGCTCAAGTATATACTATTAAGGATTAAAGGATAAGTCTATGAGGAAAATCTACCAACATGAGAAGAAGCTGGCAAGCAGTCAAGAAGTAGAGATCTTTTCTTTTTTTTTTTTTGTGGGAGAGTGATGTGCTGAACAATAAAGTAGAAGTAAATTTGCTCAAAAGGAAAAATATCAGTGAATGACAACACTTGTAAGTAAATCTATTTCTTTATCTCACAATATCATATTTAACATTTATGTTAAAACTGTAAGTCTGTGCAACAAACACTGTCTATATTTGCCTAATGCCAAAACTAATAATTCTGATGTGTGTGGAGTGTGTGTTGTGTGTGTATCAAATAGGTTACAAATAGTCACTTTGGTAAGAACAAAAAAAATTTGTGCTGCATGGTTAAAATGAAAACATATTCTCATTCTTTTAAATAATTCATTGATTTGGGTGGCATAGGTACAGCCTCATAGAAATAACACAATTTTAACAGTCATGGGCAAGTGTCATCCATTTCATAGTCAGTGATGATATTCTGCACTAAACACCTACCTTGTGCCATTTACTGAGCTAGTAGTGTCTTCAGTCTCACAGCCATTTTTTTGAGCCAACTTATCTTCATTTCATAGCAAATAGTCAAGGTTTCAGAGCTTCAATGAATTTGAGGGAATTACCTTTGCTGTTTAAGTCAATGTAAGTCAAGGGTCACAGCCAACTGACTTAGATCAAATAGCTTCTTTACTCTTAGTTATTTCACCTGTTGAAAAAGGAGAATAATAGTATCTGAGTCAATGTTGATAAAAAGACTAAATGTGTCTGGCACTTGATAAGCACACAAACAAATGTTGGCTTCTAGACTAGAAATTGTCTCAGTAAAGATAACTCTGTCTTTAGGTGATGTGGTCCAAACACTTTGGAGTATTTGAAGTCCACCAGAAAATTCAATTGAATCTGCCTTCATCATACATTAACAATATTTAAAAACTATGATCACCATGAGTGGTGGATTGATTAAAAAAACAAACTATTATAATAAAAATTTAAAAGTCATTTAGTTAGTTACCCACCTAAATATTTAACTTATACAATACCAAATATATAAACTCTAGATTAGGTTCATTTGTTATCAAATATCTAAATTCATAAATGGCCAACATTTTTTCCTCTTTTGCCATGATGGTTTATCTTCATGTAGACTTAAGGAGGGAATTAAACATTAAAGATGAATGGTATAAAAGTTCTCAAAGTTCATTTAAGTTATATGAAATAATTGGCTTGTTGGCAAGATGTGCTAATGATGGTGAAATACCCTTGAGGTCTAATTAGCCACAGCTAAGAAAGGTCATGGAATTTGCCTACAAAGGATATGCAGTAGCACTCTTGCAAGGCCTGGGAGAAGGGCCTTATCCAGAGGTGCCATTTATGGGTGAACAAAGACACAGTGGCTGAGCTAGTTGTCATTTTTAAACTTGCATCTTTTCTCCTTTCTTGGTGAACTAATAAGGCCTGAGACCCTGATCATGGAGCTATGTCAGACAAGTTCATAGATGAGATTCCGAACCCTGTCCCCCAAAACTAAATCACATAATTATAGAATCTCAGGTTTAAATGCATCTTAGAAATCATATAATCATCCCTGCCCCCTCCAATATTAGGTTTAAATCTCTCTTTCAGTACGTGAAGCATGAGGAAAGATATAGTCAATTGTATCTGATAAATGCAGAAGTAAAAATATTTTGAGGTCTTTTTTACTGATAAATATTTAAATTAGAATCCTATTATATATTCAAATTTTTCTCCACTGAATATTATAACCTCAAAATTTTCCTCTGATATTACTCAATTTTAAAAATAATCTCTGTTAATACCCACATATTATTCAAAGTGATGTACAATATTTTACCTATTGAGGTCTTAGTGTAGGACATTCCAAGCTGTTTCTGATTTTCCACAGCTCTTAATAATTATGTTGAACATATTTGTACCTAGTGAGTTTTCTCTTTAAAAAATTTGTCTTTAGAGTTGACTCTTACAAAGAATATCATAGAGTTAAAGAAAAAAGACAGGGTAACTTTTATTTTTTCATAGCTCTTTCCAAACCATTTTTATTATATGTTATTTTCACTATGTGCACTATGGTATTTTCTGCTCTGTTGGGGGAGTCCACCTCAGAATAAATAAGGAAATTGAATGAAGCTGCTGTATGTTGTTTTCACATGTGTATAACATTTTCATCTGGGGTAATTAAAAGATACAGGTGTTTATCTATTTACCTTTAAAAGGAAAATAAGTATATTTTTTCAGAGTATATTTATCTTTTCTCCCCTGTTTCTTTTGGAAAATTTTTGTCCCCATCTTTCCTCATTCTATTAGTGATGGCACATCTTCCTGCAAGCAGGCATGATGGACGAAGGATGTGCTGGGAGGGTGGGAGAGGAAGACATGAGAATGCCCATAGCAGAAGGCTACAGGAGTGGGGAGAATCATTCATACCATGGATGGATGAGCTGCTGCTGTTTGGTAATAAAATGTTGGGGAGCGGTTACAAAAGGCATTTAACAAAGACACTTTTTAATATTTATGTGGACAAGCATGCATTAATATATGCATAGTAATTGTCCAATAAATATTTGTTTTATGAGTGAATGTGTATTAGGTACTTAAAGTAAGTACTCAATATATGTGATTCTATTTATATGTACAACACTTTGTCTGTCTTATCTAGCATACAACTTCTATTTTCTATATTCAATTTCTGTTTTTAAAACTTTGACAATAAGGGCTTCCTTTGCCTGATAAGTCCTCATGTTTTGAGCACCTATCCAAGTGTTGTTTTTGATCCCAGTCTATGGAAGCTGTAAATTTACTGAATGTGACTGTGTTAAAATTGTGTTAGATTAGTTTTAAACAAGAAAAATGAACTATTTTTAAATTTCTAAACAATATACTATTAAACTAGAATGCAGCTTTCCTTCAAAAGCTTATTTATGTTTCTCATAAAATAGAGAGCAATGATAAACAGAGCAGGCGATGAAAGCACTTGAATTCCTAGGTTTACAGCCTGGGGGAGCAGGCCTGTTCTTACACAGGGAGATGAAAGAAGGTGACAATTTACTGACCATTTATTCATCAACCAATAGGTGCCAGATGGTGCAGATATCATGCCAAGCACTATTCTAGGGTCAGCGAGGAACTATGCATGAACAGCATATGTGTGATGGAAGACACCAGCGAGGGTGTATCTTCCAACCACTTCCACATGTCTGCTTATAATAGATGCTTATTTACCATGTCTTTCTCCCCACAGCTAGAACTGTGGGTTCAAATATAAATTCTGGAAGAAGGAATAAGTCTTCTGTGCAGCACTTTACAACTTACAAAATGCAACTGAGATTTTCAATTTGTACAGACAGATACAGGAAAAGGCTGGGAAGCCTAGGGCACTGAACTGACTTCACAAAGTCACGTGGAGCAGGAACCAGAAAGAGAACCTGGATCTCTTGTATATAGCCCAGTATTTTTATGGTAAATTACACATCAAATGTTGCCCTATAGATTTTTTTTTTAGGTGATAGGTAGTAGGTGTCTGAAGAGATGGAAAGCATTATGGAAGAAGTGAGAAAGAGTTGAAACCATTAGTGGGGTGAGGGGTGCCAAGGACACACTCCAGAGTTATAGTGAAAATCCTATTTCTGTATTGTGAAATTCACACAACAATCCTTCATGTATAACAGGTCTCATTTTTTCTCTCGTTATAGGTAATTTAGGCCCCAAGAAAGTACTACTTCTTATATGGATTGCCTCACATATTCTAACAATCTGACTGAGTTTATTCTCTTGGGACTCACAAAGAATCCACAACTACAGAAAATACTCTTCATTGGCTTTTGTTCATTTTCCTAATTACTGTTCTGGCCAATCTGCTGATCGCCGTTACCATTTCCCTCAGCTCCATTTCAGCTCCCATGTACTTCTTCCTCACTTGCTTGTCTGTCATAGATGCCCTCTACACCTCTGTCACCACCCCCAAAATGATCATCGACCTCTTGTACCAGAGGAGAACCATCTCTTTGGGCAGCTGCCTGACTCAGCTGTTTGTGGAGCACTTCCTGGGAGGCTCAGAGATCATCCTCCTCATTGTCATGGCCTATAACCACTATGTGGCCATCTGCAAACCCCTTCACTATGTGACCATCATGAGGCAGGGGCTCTGCTGCCTCCTGGTGCTAGTGGCCTGGATTGTGGGGGGGGGTCCTTCATGCCTCTGTACAGATTCTTTTCATGCTCTACTTGCCCTTCTGTAGTCCCAATGTCATTGACCACTTCATGTGTGATCTCTTCCCACTGCTGAAACTTGCCTGCAGAGACACCTATAGGCTCGGAATGATAGTGGCAGCCAATAGTGGGGCCATGTGCTTGCTTATTTTTTCCATGCTGCTCACCTCCTACATAGCCATCCTGAGCTCCCTGAAATCCCATGGCTCTGAAGGACAGCACAAAGCCCTCTCTACATGTGGAGCCCACTTTATGGTAGTTGTACTCTTTTTTGTGCCTTGCATATTCACCTACATGCGTCCTGTGGTCACCTACCCTGTGGACATGCTGGTGATTGTGTTCTTTGCAATCCTAACTCCCATGTTTAATCCTGTCATTTACACAGTGAGAAACACAGAGGTGAAAAATGCCATGAGGAGTTTGTTGAAGAAGAGAGCAGCTTAGCCTGTTCAAATGCCAAGAACGTGATGATGTATATAAACAGGGAGGATTATATCTATTGCACACTGTGAAAGAAAATGAACAAATTTTGCAAATCATTGGTAGGGAAAAAAAGAGGCCCAGAAACTAACACTTGTTGAGCACTTACTAATCACTAGGCTTTTTGCTAGGTATTTTGATAGCCTTTTTAAACTTTGTTTTTATTGTTTAGAATATTAAAATTGTGCCATTTTCCTCCTTTTGGCCACCACCAAGTATCCCTCAACCTCCTTCCCTCAGACCATCATGACTGAAAGAATATATGCACCCTATGTTCATAGCAGCAGCATTTGCAATAGCCAAGATCTGGAAACAGCCCAAGTGCTCATCAGTAGATGAGTGGATTATAAAGCTGTAGTACATTTACACAATGGAATACTTCTTGCCATCAAAAGGAAGGAACTCTATCTTTTGCCACACCATAGATGGTCCTAGAGATTATTCTGCTACTATGCTTTTGATAACTTTTAATGTACTTTTCCACCACCTTGTTGTTCATTTGTATAGATTCAGGGTATGCAGTGGAAAAATCACTGCTAAATCCCTAGCATGATGATTCTAGCAGGGGTGTCCAAACTTTTGGTTTCTCTGGGCCACACTGGCAAGAAGAGTTTTCTTGGGCAACACATTAAATACATTGCGACACATGATCACAAAAAGATCTCATAATGTTTTAGGTAAATTTACAATTTTGTGTTGGGCTGTATTCATAGCTATCCTGAGCCTCATGCAGCCCGTGTGCCACAGGTTGGACATCCCTGTTAGAGTAAGTTTTTCTCCAGAGTCTTATGCTATGTTTCAAAATTCTTCATACATGTTATGTGGATTAAATTGGCTTTTCCATAGGACTTTGATATTAGGATTCTTTTATTTTTATTTTTATTTTAAAATTTTATTTTAACTGTTGTTCAAGTACAGTTTTGTGTCTTTTACTCCCATCCCAGCCCACCTATCCATCCCTTCCCACCCCACTTCCATTTCCACCCTCTTTAGTTTTTGTCCATGTGTCCCTTATATTTGTTTCTCTAAACCCTTTCCCTTTTTCCCTGATATTACCCTGAAATTCTCTCCCATCTACCCTCTGGTCACTGTCAGCCTGTCCTCTACTGTTCACAGCCAGTGTCTTTGGTTATATTTTGCTTGTTTGTTTGTTTTGTTTAGGTTCCTGTTAAAGGTGAGATCATATAGTATTTGTCTTTCACTGCTTGGCTTATGTTGCTTAGAATAATGCTTTCCAGTTTCATCCATGTTCTCTCAAAGGTAGGGGCTCCTTCTTTCTTTCTGCTACATAGAATTCCATTGTGTAAATGTACCATAGTTTTTTGATCCACTCATTTACTCATGGGCACCTAGGTTGCTTCCAGTACTTGCCTATTGTAAATTGTGCTGCTATAAACATTGGGGTGCATAGGTTCTTTTGGATTGGTTTTTCAGGATTTTCAGAAAAAAAAAGAGGATAGAAATTCTTAGAATATATGGGGAAAGGGATATTTGGGGAATTAGAGAATCCCTGTTGATTTCTTCCCTTTTGGCACTATGTATCTACCAAAAGTGAAAAGAAAGACCCCCAAGAAGGAAGAAATAATGATTCATGACCTTACTCTGTTTCTTTTCTTGGCCAAAAAAATAAGCCGTAATATTTAAAGTTATTAAAATTGTTCTTAATTTGTCCTTATTTTCTTAAATTCCTTGTGGCTCACAGTTTTTCTTGTATGAACTTTTTTTTTATTTTTCCTTTTAAAGATTTGAGGAGCTATTTGAAGAAACAGAGGTGAACATTCCTTTATCTAATCCCAAGAAAAGTGCATATGCTTAGGTTCCAAAGCTATTTCTCTGGAGGTGTGATTAAATATATTTATATTAAATAAATGCTTTATTATCTATCATAGATATTTAGGTGACTCATCCACGTACTAGGTTTGCAGACTCCATATTATTATCCTCATTTTACAGAGAAGCAAACTGAAGCCAAGGGAGGTTTGATCACTTACTTGCCTCAGTTCACACAGCTAAGAGTTTGAGCTACACAACTTGAATTCAGATCTTCCAAAATTCAGTCTTACCATCTTTCAACAAAATGCACTTAGCTGTTTATAGCTGTAAGTAATATTATCAGCAGCCTTACAGATTTACTTTATCCTTCAAGAAAGTTGTGTCAAAATTTTTGTAGAGTTATCTTTCATGTAGCCACATATTTCAGCAACAATGCCCCTCTGTGTACATGGAAAATGTCAGGGCAATTTACATTACCATACAACACTTTATAAAGCAAAGCTTCTCGCTATGATGTTTTGCACCATGTTACTTTTTATGAATAAACCTTTCTTAAACTCACTGGTCATTTGGGGGAATCTCTTCCATAATTTGACCATAAAGTAATGTCAGAGGATAATACATCTGTTCTTTCGGGGTACCTCTGTGTTTCATTTTATGCATGGCTATTAAATTCATAAGAAATAGAACATTTTTCTACAATGTCTAGGTCTGGAAGAGATGTAACCAACACTTAGTCTATTAAATATGGTCAAGTCTGCAGCAGCTGAGTGAGAAACAATTTTACAGAATCTGGACTAAATGACACATGTTTAGGAGATGAGAGTAAGCCAGCAGTAAGGATAAGAAGAGTACTGAGCAAATGTCCTTTCCACTCTAAGACAAAGAGGAGGGTTTGAAGAGGGAAACTAGAGCCAGTGATTGTGTCTTATGGGCCATACAGAGTACTCAGTGGAGGAGTGAGGAGACTGATGAGGCACAAGTTACAAATGGTCAACAGCAAAGTTGGAAGGTGCAAGAACTGGAGGAGGAAATGTCAGGTGGTCTGACATTCTTAGTGGATGGAGTTTGCTGCTGTGGGGATAGTTTTAAAGAATGTTAAGAAGTCCTTTTGCACTCAGCATCAAAATTTTCTCATGAGGATCCACTGTCATTTGATTATTTTTGATACTTAACACAGCATGTGAGGAAGCAAGTATGTTTACTGCTAAAAATTAATAAGATAAATGTTGTTTGGATCTATTATATAAGGGTACTTTAGTTTAATTTGGACTTTTAATTCAGTGAAAATGTTAAGTGAAGGGAGTGAGCTACTATTGTTCAAGGCCAACTATGAAGCAGTTTGTTCTTTATACGTTTTAACTCTCTGAATGTAGAAACAAGTTTTATTGGATCTTAACTCCATATTTTACAGAAAAAGGTGAGCCTCAATCTAGCTACACAATAAAGGCAAGTCTTTTAGATTCCACCTCCTCTAGTCTTCCCACTTCACAATTCACCTCACTAGCATGGTGTGAAAATATTCAAACATAGAATTGATCACTAGTCACATTTTCAAGATTGTCCTTAAGGCTTTCTCCTCTTATTTTGGAGGCCATGTTCTTCTTTTAACTGTTTTAGCTTCCCTGATTTCCAATTTCCAAACCCTGCCAGTAACTCAGAGGCAATTCTAAAGGTTGATGAACTCTCGGAGAAACCTCTTTAAATACCAATTGGAAATCAAGGAAGAAACTTTGCCTCTTTATTGATTGTTTTCCCTGAGATCATGTTGAAGATGGTGCTTGAGGCAGCAGGGAACATTCTCTAGTTTGTCTGCCAGAGATGTTCTTCCTCTCTCTCAGATGTAAAAGTGACACTTGGAAAAAAGATTCACATTCTTTCCCAGTTGCTGAATGGACTTTTATTTATAGAGAATAGAGATGGCCATCACCAGCACTTTCAAGGAACTCACACATGGTGAGATCTATAATTCACAGTTTTTCTTTTTTAGAGAAAATGTGAAGTTGTGATGCTGTACTTAAAAGTAGGGTGTCATGGTCCAGGTATGAGGTTTAATGCAACATATGAGTCTATCATTTAACTGTACACACTTGGACTGGTTACATAACCTTTCTGGCTCTCAGAATCTTTATTTTTGATGGGGGTTATATCACCAAGTTCAGAGGGCTAAGAAACCAATAATACATGTGGAGTCATTAGAGTGCTTGACACATAATACTGTCTATGCTCAATAAATAGCAGCTGTCAGAATGCAAACTGTTTTTGGAAGTTTAGGAGGTCCTATTAACTCAAATCTAATGAAATCAGACCTGTCTTCAGTTTTTCACCTTTAGGTTAAATCCATATACCTTAGAAATGCAACAAGTGCATATTTCTGTCTTGACTTTCTAACAGCATTTAATTTATTCTTTTTAGTTGTATTCTCAATTATCTTTCATATGAGGATGAATGTCCTGGTATAGTTTTGAATATTCCCATCCTGGTGTTTTCAATTAAAAAGTGGCATTTTCAGAAGCTGCATAAAGAATCATGTTGTAGGAGCATGATAATTCAACTGCTATTTACCTTTCACAATTATTGATATAATATTGCACTAATATTCCTAGTACTAAATCCCCAGCAAAGGCACACAGCCATTCATTAAGGGTAGGAAAGAGTGTCTCACTTAAGTCACAGAGCAGAATCTTTCAATTTAATTATGTTTACTTAATTTCCCCTAGTGCATTTGATGTCATAAGTAGCCTCAGATTTCTGCATCAGAACTCTTCAGGAATAGTTACATGGCTAAACTTAAAATGGTTTAGTGCTAGTGGTTTTGGCTTTGCCTCTTTCTTAAAATGAACTAAATCGCTAGGGCAACAGAAAAAAAATACGTTTCAGGCATCTGTCAGGAAGGACATAGGAGAACACAGAGAAAGCTTATTTTTTTTCAAATTCCAGAATCAGTAATGGTTTACAAGTTGAGATATTTAGAAACATCAGCAGATTATTATTATTATTTTTAAAGATTTTATTTATTTATTTTTAGAGAGGGAAGGGAGGGAGATAGAGAGAGAGAGAGAAACATCAATGTGCGGTTGCTGGGGGTTATGGCCTGCAACCCAGGCATGTAATCTGGCTGGGAATTGAACCTGGGACACTTTGGTTCCCAGCCCACACTCAATCCACTGAGCTATGCCAGCCAGGGCAGC